AGGTCTCGAAAATATCTCCACCACCCCAAATTTGCTTTTACTTCCGGCGTAATTAAGAAGATCGTAATTCTTAAACAAAAACCACCCAATCTCAATCCCCGGGAGCGGTGAGGGCGAGCTCAAGGTGCCTGAGGCTGGCGAGCTGGAAGGCTCGGCGGGTCCGCATGCCGGGAGCTAGCCCCTGACTGTGAGTCTGTGTCCTGGACTCGCACATTTCCCCTCTTAAGGGAGGAAAATGAACTCTCCTAGGTTCCTCATTTGCAAAGATAGCGTCTTTAGTCAGCACTGAAATAGGGGTGGTGCAGAAGAGGCCTGGTTCGTGAACCCGAAGAGGTCAGGGCTCCAACCTCAGCCTGAGTCTCTCATAAAACCAGGAGACGGTGGTCAACTGCACTGCGGGTCCTTTCGGTATCCAGAAGAAAGAACCTCAGGCGGGGGAGCGTGTGTACCCGCCTGAGTGTTCTGTCCCATCCTACAATCCACTTGAGTCTCTAGAAGCTCAGGCTTTGCCTTCCCGGAGGCAGACGAGGCCTAGAGGGGCAGTCCGATCCTTGGGCGCAGATTCTTGTGGCCTCCCAAGTCCACGCAACCGGGCACCCCCAGCCCAGGGCCGCCCCGACGGCCCCGATGCGGTGCCCATGCGGCCAGTAGGTGTCGCTGTTCCCCTGCTGGCCGGAGCCAGGAGCCCCGCGCTGGCCCCCAGCGCCACTCAGTCTTCCGCGCCAGGCAGGTTCACAGACCCACCAGAGCTCCCGAGAGAGGGCCGCTACCCATCTGGGACTGTCCCCTCGCTCACCTGGCCACGATCGCAGCGACACTGGCCGGCCCAAGGGAGCGCCTTCGGGGAGAGAAGGAAGAGAGGGGTCTGTTGGGGCGAAACACAGGGCCCCGACGGAAGCGGCTCGAAGCCACCAACTCTCCCTCCTTTCTCTTCTCTTCACGTGCTGTGGGCAGCGACCGGGCACAGGGAGAATCCTGGTAAAATCCCGAGCCGGGGGATTCAACTGGGGCTCCAACCCGGGCTCCTCAGTGGCTTTAAAAATCAGAGGTTGAAATCCCCAGCTTCGTGGGAGCTAGCCACACAAAGAGTGGATTGGTTTCAACTTCTTGCCTCAAAAAGAAGAAGAAGAAGAAGAAGAAGAAGAAGAAGAAGAAGAAGAAGAAGAAGAAGAAGAGGAAGAAGAAGAAGAAGAAGAAGAAGAAGAAGAAGAAGAAGAAGAAGAAGAAGAAGAAGAAGAAGAAAAAGAAAAAGAAAGAAACCTGGGCCTGGCCACATGCGTGAGCTACATACCATCTTGTGCATACCTCTGCACGCAGAAATGCCGGGTAATCGCGACCGCCCCCCTCCCCTGGCCCAGGAAGGAGTCAGTATTTGGATGTGGTTGGCTTCTCCCAAAGCATTGCTTGACAAATATTATTCCCCTTTGGAAACCTAGCAGTTAGCACGTCTTTGGAATCTGTATTGAAATTCTAGGTATTGAGAATTCTGCGCCCATCTCTGGCGTCCTGCAGCTCCTTGCCTTCGGCCTCGGTGTGCCGCGTAAGAGATTATTAATCAGAAGCGTTCTTTTTGTGTGTGTCTCAAAAGGAGGAGGTTTGGCTTATGAATACTGAGAGGGATATTTACAGTGGGTGCATCCAGTAGGTAACTGGAGATTTTATTATGATTCTGATTGTTTTATACGGGGAAATCACTATTCTGATTCGAAGGTGGGGAGGAGGGGACCGCATTGAAAGCGCTAAATTCAGAACTTCGAGTTATTGAGTTAGGATGCAAAATGGAACTAACGTTTAAAAGCCATATTTTCATTTAAAATGTGGGGACATTTTGCAGTAAAAAAATTTAAAACCCCACACTTGATCTATATTTTTTGGTAAACACCATCAGTTGGTGAAGAAGAAAAATGTATCAATCAAATATCAAAGAGAATGAAAGAAAAATTCTTACTTAAAGTCCAAAATATTTCGGAACACATCTTGTTCCTGACTCTGGGCCTTGGTCTCGCTATCTTGGGGGACAAGGCTGGGCAAATGCCTGAGTATTCAAGGCAAGCCTTAATTTTTTACCATGAGGTGGCCAACATCATCTTTAAATGTCATGCCTTTTGCTATGTTTCACAAAATCGGCGACTTTACGTTAAATCCTGTTTCTGTTATACAATTCTAAATAATTATTTCTGATTGAGACAGCAAATTAATCATTCGTTGATGTGGGAGGGGGGAGAAACACGTGTCTAATTGGAGGCTGTGAAGTTCAGTGAGGTGGTATTTTTAGCTTTGAAAGTCCAAAATCAGGTATTTGGTTATCTCTCCCCCTCCAGACTTTTCCTCACTGCCTCCCCATTTTACCCCCTTTTCACCCAACCATTTGGGCTCCCTTCTCCGCTCTTTCCCCCTTTCCTCAGTCTCTGTCTTCCTTTCCCTTGTTGCGCACCCCCCACCGCAGCGCCTTTCCTCTTTCCTTTCCCATCTCTTCACCCACCCCCCCATTCTGCTCCCCTTCCTCTGTGTGTGTATCTCTCTCTCCGTCTCCACCTCCCCCCCCCCCGCCATTTATTGTCTGATCCTATCAGTCAAGTTAATATAAAAGTAGCAAGTGGGAGGCCCAGAACCTCTCTCCCGCGCGCCCAGGACACTTTGGGGAGGTGTCGGTCGCTGCCAGGTTACCGGCCGGAGTGGTGGCCCTTGATGCAGGGCACGCAGCTTGTTGAGGAGTTGGGGTCTGCCCGGGGTTGCGGGGCTTATTCAAATGCCGCCCGCTGCTGCTGTGATTCGCAGGGACTCGGCCTCCATATGGTAATGCGGGGCGGAGTGGGGGGAGGCGCAGAGGGTAGAGGAGGGGAGGATGCGGGTGAGGGCGGGGTGGGAGGGGGCTCCGGCACCGCGCGCTCGGCTGCCGGGCTGGGACAGAGCACCCGGACCCGCGGCGGCGGCGGCAGCGGCGCTACCCACCCTCCGCCACAACACCCACTGAACCAGCGAGCCACCGAGCCACCGGCCCCCGGGGTAAGCCACAGCGCGCACACGGCAGTGACGGTGACGGTTCAGATGCTTCAGGTTACTACCATGAGCCAATAAGGGAGATTAGAAACAGAAAAGGAGATTACTGAGAGATCAGAGATAAGAGGTGTACCTCTCTGTGTCCCTTGTCACAGCGCGCGCGCGCACGCACACACGTCTGTACACACATGCATGCACAGACATCCGTACATGCACACATTCCTTGCTAGTACCATCTAAATATATGCACCGCCACTCTACGCCCTGAAACGTGGCGGGTGTGTTTGTCCTGATCCCTGCATAAAGGCAGGCAGGTATGTTCGAGAGTCTAGGCTGGAACAAACCGCCACGCACGATTGAATTGCAGCCAAACTCGAAGAGACATTTAACCTGCCGAATTGTTTCGTTCAGCCAGGTGCCCCCCAGAAACCGGCAATTCTGCAACCAGTTGTGAAATCCTGCAAATATTCATAAAATGTGCTGAAAACGTACTTTAGGAAAGGTAATCTTGCTATGTATGGCAAGGTAAGGGCAAACGTAAAGGATGAGTGTGTTTCCGTTTTTTAATGTTTTACGTGTAGCCATCTGACCACTTTTTATTGGGTGACATATCATATGAGCACTTTGGTGTAGGCTTGGAAAAACTACAGTCAGAGGTAAGGCTGGAAATGCCATAAGACTCAAGGGTGCTAAAAATGGATGCTGGATAGTCCAGCATGAAAGATGGCATACAGCTGTAGGTTTAAAATGGGAGAAAATACATGTGAATATTTATACATGAAAGCCATTGGGGAGGGCTGAATCTTGCCCTGAGTATCTGTGCAGGTAAGTCATTCATAAGAAAACTAATTACCTGTGCATGTACTTGGACTTGTTTAATTGAATAAGCTGCATGTGTGCATACTTGCTGTTCTTTGTGGCTATGCAATTATGGATTCAGTCTTTTAAAAATGATAGCTTTGGGAGAATTTTAAAAGTGGACTTCATACATACATATTTTCCAAAAGCCATTGTATTGAATAGATGTATTGCCAAAGGAAAATCTGACCCTATAAACAAGATTACTATTGCTTCATATCTAACTCAAGGCCTGTATAGTTTAGGGTAAGTCAAATGGCTTAATATAGTCAACTGTTTTGTTTATTTGTTTTCATTTCAAAGTCAGGAATTAAGGAGGCTTTTCAATCGAGATAATGTGCCTGTTTCCAGTCACATAAGATAAAAATGAAACTCAGTAAATTTTGAGTGCAGCAGATAAGGTACAACATACAACATGGTTGAAAATGTCTTCCTTGCAGAAGGCTGTCCGTTGCTGTGTCTACACATTTTAAAATAGATTTTTTTTTTTTTTTGCAATAAGAAATGCTATAAGGCAATAGGGTAGCGAATGCCGCAACTCTCCGTTATTCAGCACAGAAATTATTTAGAAATCTTTGGAGTCACTTCCCTTTATACATACATTATTTCAAATGCACTGGCCCGAACTGTGTTTTTGCTAATATGAAGTTAATTAGATAATCAAACTTTGAGCCTTGAGCGATGGACATTACAGCCGACCAAGGGGGTATGTCGGGGGGGGGGGGGAGTGTCTTTTCTTTTATGACCAAACCAGGAGGTTACACAGCTGGCATTACATACATGACAGATGTGCATATTTGGAGCCTTAAATACACAGAAGCAGGGAAGCAACTGTGCATATTATCTAGCAAGAGACAGTAGCATACACTCGCCAAAAAACACAGACAGAAAGGGACAAGAGAGACAGACATAACAAGATAGCAAAAAAGGAAGGGGGGATCAATAAAACGATACAACCTGAACTTTTCGCGAATTAAAAAATGCAAATATATCTTTACATATGCATCAGTATTAAAAAATAATACACGCTGGAACCAACAGGAGCGGGAGCAGGAGGAGGAGGAGGAGGAGGAGGAGAGGTGGAGGAGGAGGAAAAGAGGAGGAGGAGGAGGAGGAGGAAAGAATGGAGGCGCCGCGGAGCCCTGATTATGCATGGGCTGGAGCTGCCTCCTCTAACCTGTTCTTCTCCGAGCCCGGCAGCCGGCGGTCCTCAGCCGCCCACAGAACAGGAGCCGAAACAACCGTTCCCGAAGGCTACAGCGTTTATTTTTCTCTTTTGGGGGTTTTGGCGGTTGTTTCAGGGGCTCGCCAACTGGCCCCTTTAATTAAAAGCTTCAATAAAAGGCGATCGCGCCAGGAATGCACCGGCTCCTCTCCGCGCAGGATTTGCATATTTTTTTAATGCCCTAATTTCCTTGATGTATGTAAATGTAGCCGGACGTAGAGGGAGACAGGGAGCTGACGTCAATGGACGTGACCTCGCAGCTAAACCTTGAACGTGAAGCCGGGATGGGGGAAAACACGGAGCGGCAGCCGGCGGAGCCCGCTAATGCGGGCGGCGGCAGCGGCAGCGGCCAAGCCCAAGCCGGAGGAGGCCAAGGGGCCCCGTACCGACCCCGGGGGAGGACGAGCCGCCGTCTTCTTTCACCACCGCCTGGCTTCCAGCCTCGCCAGCCTTCCGGCCATACACACAAGCTCTTGTCCTGCGCCTCCGGGCCCCACCAAATACACGTTCTTTTGCTTCCCTCAGAAAAACAACACACTCAACAACAAACCCAAATCAACAGATAACAAACCAAATCAGATCCCCAAATGTTGTAGACTAATATTCGGGTAGCTTATCAGAGAGAAGACTCTGACAATGGAACATGGTTTTTTGTTTGCTTTTTTGGCTTCTCTCCACAACAAGAAGAGGGGGAGACCGCGGACAACAGCAAATCATTCCTAAAACACGATATGCTACACGTGTTTCCAGTAGGGAGAGGTAAATCGCCCAGCCGACTGGGAGCTTCTCGTTTTGGTTTTGGTACCTGTTTACCTGTGCACTCATTAAGCGCGTCGGCTTCATTAACTGCCGTGCTATTAGCCTGCATTGTAATGTGATGGAAGTGTCGTGTGTGTGTGTGTGTGTGTGTGTGTGTGTGTGTGTGTGTTAAGGAGGCGCTGCGGACGAGACGAGAGCGAGATCCGTGTTTCTCCAAGGCCACCTCTGGGACTTATCTGCAGGGCCATCTAGACCAGAGCTCCTGGGCTGGAGTTCGAATTTCACCCATTTGGGAAGGCGGGGTGTGTCGATCACAGAAGGCTCTCTCTCTCTGAACAGCCAGGCCCTTCCTATTACACTGTGCGGGAGGAGGTCTTTTGAGGTGTGAGCCATTCCTTGGTCGCAGCCCGGGGCGCTGCCTGGCGGATTCAGCCTGGTGTGCTTTTATCCTGGAGCTCAGCAGCCTCAGCGAGGAGGTAGCTACTCTCCGCTACGCGGCAGGGAGGCCTTCAGACTATTCCCCAACACCCCACCCCCCCCCAGCCCCGCGCGCCGGCGTGTGCGTGCCTGCGCACCCGGCGGGAGTCGCTGGCACCTCCCAGTGCACATCCGCCCCCGCTTTTGCTCGCCCACCCACTCCTAGGTAGCTAGGAAATGATCCTCGGCCTCTTCTGGGCCGGGGCGGTGCGGAGTCCGGGGCGGAGGGCAGAGTCGCGGGCTGCCAAGGAAGGGGCGCCGGAGGCCGCGGTGTCGGCTTCCCAGTCCTGCCCTTGGCCGCCAAGGCTGCCGTTTCTTCGTTCCACCTCGCAACCCTAGCTTTGTTTTCCTGACAGGCTCGTGGCCACCGGGCCCCACGCCTGCGAAGGGAGTGTGTGCGTGTGCGCGGGGGGCGGGCGCGCGCGGGCGGGGGCCCTCCCGCCAAGGACACGCATGGCTGTCTGTCCTCCGGCTGCACTTGGCGGGAAAGCTGGGGGCCGCCGGCGAGCCGGCGGCTCTCATTACCACCTCCCCGCTCCCCCCGGGCCGCATTTACATACGGGCCACTCGCCTGAATTTTTATAGCCCCCGTTCCGCCCCGGTCGCACGCGCGCAGGCTCGGAGCAAGCGCCCGCGCGCGCAGACACCCGCGCCCAGGCTGTGGCCGGCTGGGAGCGAGAGCAGGCCCAGGGGTGCAAGCCGCCCTCGGCGAGACGGGTTCTTGCACCCTCCCTCTCGCGCCTACACGCCTGACAGCCTCCCGGCTCGTGTTCCAGGAAGCCCACTTTCCCTCAAGGCCCCCACCCTTCTCTCCTTGCACACTCCCACCCACACCCGCCCACATCTCTCTGCCTCTTTCCCTGGAACACACACACACACACACTTTTTCTTCCCCCTCAAAAAGATAACCCCTATAGGGCGTCCCTGGTACCCTTTGAATAGCTCTGGAGTTTAAAGAATAAAAATCCTTATAACATATTGCTTGTCTTTAGCCAAACACGTTTGACGATCACAACAAAAAGAGGAGGAGGACTGAGGAAGGGGGACTTGAACCAAAAGACCTTTCTTTTTTTAAAAAAAAGTCCGCAAGTCAAAAGGTCATTCTCCAAGTTTGTAAATAAAATTGCAAAGGGAGTTCTTAAAGAAAACAAAAAAAAGAGGAAAGAAGGAAGGTAGAAAAGATCCACAAGTTACATAAAATGGTGCATTGGAAAAACAAGACAGGCCTATTCTTAAAAAAAAAAAAAAAAGAAAGTCTAAAGAAATCAAGAGAAAAAAACTGAAGGAAAAGAGAAAAAGAGGATAGAGAAAATAAAAGGTAGAAAAGGCAAAAGAAGTTTCCAAAGAAATGTGTGCTTTACATCTTATAATAGGAAAACGTAGCCATTGCCTTCCTTCAGACGAGACATTTCTAATTTGTTCCGTCTGTCAGGAGGGGACTATGAGAGGTTTGGGTGCAAATTCATTATCTCTGGCAACGCAGAACGTAGTGTGGGGACTGAAAAAGACCGTGGCAATGGATGAACAATAGGGCTTCAGTTCATCAGTAACAAAAGCAGTGGGGAAATTGGTTGAGTTTCAGAGCACGTCCTCCTCGGCAGAGGGGGCTGGACTAGACCTTGGACAGCCCCCCCAAAAACTTGCCGAGCCTCGCACACACCACTTCACTCTCCACTCCGAGGCTCAGGGAGCAAGTGCCTGGCGTGGGGGGCGGGGGGGGGAAAGTTGGCTTTTTTCCTCTTTCGTCTTTTGCGCCCTTCTCTCTCTCCCCAGAAGGGAAGATCCTTTTAAACTATTTTAGACGCAATCAAGCAAGAATCACCGTGTGGAATTGAGCGGCAGTTTTAAATGTGCTAAGGAGAGGAATGATCTGAAAATTTTTTTTTCTTTTTTTGAGACGCCGAAAGGAGCCTGTTTGTGTACTGCGGCCGCCCTGTGACTCTGGATCTTGTCTTCTGGCCGGCGCCTTGATTCCTGCCCAGCTGGATTTGGGGGGGCAACACTGACTGGCTTAGGGAGGAGAGCAAGTGAGTATCGTGGCGGCCCGCAGGCGGCAACTCGGTGGGCGGCACGGGGCCAGCAGTGACCGCTGCAAACCCCGCGCCCGCGCTCCTCACCACGTCCTCGAGTCGGTGACCGCAGAGCCCCGCTGCGGGCCGCTCCGAGGGCCAGTCCGGGGCTTTGCTTCAGCTAATTGATTGTGAGTCTCGGATGCTAAACCTGTTGATCTCTTGAGTTGTCTGAGCCAGAATTGTTAATTATCCAGCGGTCTGACCCCCAGTTGCGGAGAGATGCCAGGAAATTTTCGCGTTGGAAAGGGGAATTTTGTATGTAATTTTGTGTTGTTGTTTAGTGGGACTTTTTTCTTATAAACCTAGAGCTAAATACAATTGTATTTTGCGTTCCTGGATCCAGAATTTGCATTTTGAATGATTCTTTTAACCACCTCAAAGTTGCAATCATCTGGCAACGAAGTGAGGATCTGACTGGATTCTGGCGGAAACTTAATGTACACTAGGTAACTAGACGTGGTGGATTTCCACTTCCCTTTTCTCTAGCCTTTTGGATTCTGGGAGGCGAGAGGCCGCTTTACAGGGTTATCCCAAGTTCAGATTCATCAAGATACAGCCATCGCGGTTAGTTATTGGGACTTGGAACATTTCAGCTTCAGATGCTTCTGGTATCCGAGTGGAGCCCGGTCTCTGCAGTTTGCTTGGAGCCCAGACCCCGCTGAGGGAGGCAAGCCCTTCCTTCCGTGGCCTGGAATTGTCTGAGGGAACACGGGGAGGTGGGAACCCAGGCACTTTATTTGCATGAGGGTCTGCCGCGTTTTCTCTTGCAAATGTACCGGCGCTGCTTGAATGGGAGACTGTCTTGAGGGGTCAGGGCAGCAGTGGTATTGATCAGAAGTTAGACCGGAGGCCTGTCAAGTCACGGCCATGGCCGGGGCTCTTTTGGGGCTGTGGCTGCCTTGGGCCCAGAATGACAGGGTCGGATCCAGTTTCCTCCCTCTCCTGGTGCCCAGCTCTTCCCAGCACCCTCCTTCCCCACCTTGCCACCAGTAATTAGGGCGCTGTCTCAGAAACGAGCTCCCATAGTCAGCATAATTGAACGGGTGCAGTACTTTCATTTTGCAAAACCCAGTAGCCCCACCCCACTACTCCAAAATAACAATAAGCATTTAAAAAATCATAAAAGAAAAGCAACCTATTTTCGGGAGAGTAAGACTTCTTGAATATTGAGTCATGGAGGAATGGGGGAAGGGAATAAAATCCACCACTTTACAGCAATCAGGTTTTACATTATTCATTGATTTACTGAAGGAAATAGCCAATCAGGAGCCATAGACATGAATGCACATCTCACCGTGCTGTGGCCTTACAGTAAACTATTTGCATCTTTCTAATGGATTAGATATTTATCTAGGGATTCCCATTGTTTGAAAGGCCTGGAAATCCAGTTCCTGAAACATTTAGAAAATACGACTTTGTTCCAGTCTTGAAATTTTTACATGGAAGAACTCTCCCTCGTCTTTTGTATGGCAGGTTACAGTGTTCAAATCCCTAATGTCTTTTAAGGGTCCCTCTTCCTTCCAAGCTAAAAATAAAAGAAAAGAAGAAAGAAAAAAATTAATTTCCCAAACCCCTCCAGATTCTGCATATTTTGCAATCCCATTATCATGCATGTCTCCATTTAAATGCAAATTAGCATATTTAACCCTGTGGGTGCTGAAGCCCAGCATACATTGTACTGGGGTTTTCTGTAATCTCTTGGCATTTTAAGGGATCATGGTAATTGCAATACTTTAAAATGAAGCCAAATCTAAACATGATTATATACATATATGTATATATTAAAACTGTGATCATTTGTTTTCTTAACTATTTTTCAGGTAAGACTACAAAGAAGCCTAAAATGAATAGACAATACAACCAACCAAAGGTAATTTAAAATTTTACGTTTGATAAAATCAAAATGCTATACAAAGTCAAAATAGAATATCATTTGCTGGGTGGTAGGCCTGCAGTGTATTGCATACGTCCCAGTTCGTGCAATAGATACAATTCCAGAAAAATCTAAGTTTCCATATGTGCTGTTTTCTTTCCCTGTATGTAGCCTTTGTATACTATATATCAAGATTGATGCAAACATAACCTGTAACTGCCTATAAAAATGAAATTCAGGATTAGGAAGACATAATAGGACACTTTTATTAGAAAGTAAGCCAGTCAAATACCTTGCCTGAACTATACAAATCGCTGTAAATTAAATGGCTTTTATGTAGAAAATGGTAGTCTTGACTGTATTAGTGGACTGTGGTTTACTTACATAAGAATCTACAAACTCAGTATTAAAAGGGATTTAGTAATAGGCCAATTCTTTATATACTCTGCAGTAGTCTGAATAGGATTCAGATAGGTGTTCTAAATATGAGTGGCAAACCTGATTATTTGCATTTATGGAATAGCATAATTCTGATCCAAATATGTGGAAAATCATAACTTTTCACTTCTAACTTAAGCAGAGATTGTTTATTCCCAAGAAAACCAGGATGTTTCAATTCATGTTTCAGCCATCTGGAGACTTATAAAAAGATTAGAAAACAAGCACGACAATCACGTCCTAATCTACTGGCCATTAATGGGAATTTATTAGAGAATGATCAGGCAAGACATTTGAATTCAGTATATCCTTCAATATGCAGATTTCAGAAAGGGTGTTCTGTAGCTCAGATAAATAGCTTTCTGAAAAACAAAAATACCTGAAATAAATACATGTAGGTGTTAATAGTTGCTCATAACAATGTATGGCAGGCATTGCTAGGAATCAGCCCAGTTGTTTCAACTGGCTCACATCCTAAGTGATAATAAAGTCCTTGAAATGTATATGATAAACCATGACATGAACCTTGGCAATATTCAAAATAATCAGGTGTTCAGTGTGAAGCCTTGCTGTGTATCTTTTATTTCTCCATACCTTGAAAGAAGATGGAGAGGTGAAACATTTAATTGGCTATATGGCTAGAGAACAGACTGCCCATAACCTTTATGTTGGCTATTTTCACTTTTGGGGGCTCTCACAATGAATCTACAGTATATGTGGCATGCATGAGAGCCAGTCCTGGAGTCAGTTCATGTGACTATGTGGCATTGCTTTAGAAGATGCTATTTTAAGACCGTATTTTCCATAGCTTCTAATTGTAGAAGCATGTCAAATGTTCAGTGTCTTGGCTTTCGTGATAGTTACTTGGGTTCTAAAAATGGATTTAATCGTTAAATGTAGGAATATAGCCACATTAATTTGTGAATTCATACAAATATAGGGTGACACACATACACAGACATACATGTATCACATCTCTCCACTTTCACCAACCCCCACCCAGATGTATATAAGGCAAAAAGATATTCTAAAAATATCTGGCATTTCTTAGGGTTTTGAACTTAAAGAATTGAATTCATCTGATCATATGCTTGCTTTATGTAGTACATGCCAAATCATTAATGATTCTGCTTCTAGGTCTTGGAAAGCAAGGCCAGAATACTCTCAATCTTCCAATGCAGCCAAGCTCATTATGGTTTTACATAATGTCAAAGTGGCATGTGCCTCAGCCATGTGCCCAATTCTGTCCATTAGTTAATGTTGTGACCTCATAGTTCAAGAAGGAACAGTAACTCTATGGGAGTGTGTGTCTCTGAATTAGTTTGTGGTTTGCACGTACATTTTATATGTAACCCAGTGCAGCCATTTCTGATCATACTTCTTATACCAAGATTTGATAAGAAAAATAGATGAGCAATTTCCATAGCTGAGTCTTTTCTAAATAATCAGAACACAAATGCTCGCCCAAAAAAGTGAATAAAAAACCTAAGGGAAAGTTGGCATCTGTGTTTCTAAACTGTGTCTGTAATTGGTGTAATATTATTGTATGAACTGTAGATTGGGTGCTTTTCTTAGCAATTTTGGTTCTCTTTACTTGTCAGTCTTTTCCATAGGATTTACATATGTGTGCTCTGTATGTAACTTGGTAAGCATATTCACCCTCATGTCTTACAAGAATAAATTACTGAATTAATGGAAGAGTATATATTAATTCTGAAAGTGTTTAAGTCTTTGGGCAAAATAGTCAACCTAAAGAAATGAAAGTATTGTGATAAACTAGTGATGTGTGAAATGAATATGAAGATTTATGACATTCACATGTAGCATATATTTTAAAGAATAGTAACACCACCAAACATGACTCCCAATTTTGGAAAACAATCCATAAAGTTCACCCATGGTGAATATGCATCTTATATGGACTGCACCTTAGATATTCTGTTGAGGGGCATCTGAGTATTAGAACTGTACATATCATAGATGCATTAGACATAGATTACCCATAAATGAAGGAGAAGAAGAAAAGAGCTCTTTGAAGTGACCATATTTACACTTTGAAAAGTCCTAAGAAAAGGAATGAGGCTAATTAATTAATAAAACAGTATTCTCCTCTAGATTGAAGAAAGGTGGGGGTGGGACAGGGAAAGGTGGGGTAGAGTTATGCTCTTAACACCCAGGTATTTTGTCGTTTTCATGAGGTAACGATACTGTTTTCATAATTTCGTAAGGAAGACTAGTACGTATGAAAACTGATTTTTGAAATTATAAACAAAGGCTCAGCGTTTTTATTACAGGAGAGTTGTGTACAGCAGTAGAAACTAATGCTGCAGTGTTTACCTGTGCTACATTCTAAGGCACACACCCTATACAGAGTCATTTTTTCTAAAAACCAGGATGAAGTCAGCCTGCTTAGAGCATTCCGTTTGAACTTACAGAGCGAACAAAATACGCTATCGCCATGGCACGTAGATACAAAACATGACTGAGCCGTGAAGCCATTAAAAACACACCACCAGAGCACATTGTCAATGTAATCACACATCGACTCACTGCGTAATACAGATCTGATTCCCAGCGCCAGAAAGCAAGGCCCTGCTTTAAGCAATAGCAAAGTGCCTTCCATCTGTCTGCCCATGCAATCTGCCAGAAGAGAAATGCAGGCAAAGACGCTCCCCAGATCTGAAATGCTTTTATCTGTCCTTAGAGAGAGATTTCTTCCAGTCTTTGGATATTAGAGCGATCTACACTAGCACGGAGGAGGTAAAAGGCCGCGGGTTGCTTATCCTGGAGCGGTCGGTAGTGCTAGCGGAAGAGATGTTGATTGAGAAAATAGGGCTTGTTGCAATGCTGCGGCCGCGGCCGCTGCTGCGGGCAGGAGGCGTGGGGCAGTTGGCTGATCACTGATGCATATCAATAACCGTGTACTTGAGATTTCTCATGACATCATCATTACCTTGGTCTCCTGCGGTCTCGAACCTTTGACCTTGCCGGGCTGGTCCACATTTTGGCAGTGAAAGCCCCTCCAATGATGGCCCTTTTCTCCTTCTTTCAGACCGGGGGCAGCAACACGCCAGCAAGACGGCTTCTTCTCCTCCCCAGCCTAGAAGCCCTGTGAAATCGAGGATCTTCCCCCCAAAACACACACACACGAGATACGTGCGATCAAGCTGCCACCGCTTGGTAAAAAGCTCACGGTGCCTAACCCAAAAGGATCAGGAGCAGATCCTTGAATCAGCTGTCACCTCTTCTATAGAATGGGATGTTTTTTTTTCCTTCCTCCTTAACCTGCGCTGGAAATTGCCGTTGGCTTTATACATCTCTATAGAGGGAGGCTAAGGAGTCTTGCGTGAGAATGAAGCAATTTACAATGCAAATAGAGGCCTGTGGAGGGACGGATGCTGCTGCTCACTCATAACTGCTTGCTGCACCTTAGTAGCTGGTTTTATTTTCTGATATTAATAGATGAATTGTTGGCTAACGCTGCCGGAGATTACTTGCTGAAAGGAAAAAAAAAAGTTCGGAATAAACTTTGAAAGCAACAGATCTCGTTTGGATGTTTTAGCTGCACACACAAACAGAAACCAGGTCATATTTACATGCAAGAAGGAATCTTATGCACGGCAAGTGTCCTGGAGGACTACTCTTCGGTATTGCCAGAGAGATCGGGATCTGGAATCTGGCCAGAGGAAGACAGAGGCGTGTGAGGGAAGCGAGTTGTTATCTTTGGTTATCTAGCTGTATGAGTGTATTGGTCTTCATAAAGCTAGATAACCGAAAGTAAAAACTCCTTCAAGATCGCCGGGGAGCATGTGAGAATGAAAGACTACAACCAAGAGACAGTAAAAACCAGAAAGGTCAGGAATACTTATTGAATCTAACTTTGTTTTTGTTTTTGCTTTTGTTCTTTTTCCTTATGATTAAAGGTGGGATTAGAGGAAATTAAGTGACACACAGATGCCAAAATACAAAGGTGCCGGATACTTTGAGAAGGGTTGTTACAGCTGCAAAGGAGAGTTGTATAGTGCTAATAAGTAAAGATGCATGTGTAGTTTGTCCTACTTTAAGACAAAAGTTTATATGAGGGTGTTTTTTTTTTCCTTAGAAAGCTGTTGTAGAGATGTCTGGTATCTAGTTTGAAAATGATTTCATAATACGTAGACCTAGGCTATCTCCTTCTGAGGTTCCCCTCCCCTGAAAAATTGGAAGATTATGCTTGAGGACTACATGTATTGGGGTTGTATGTCAAATTATATTAAATTAGACTATCAGAAAAGTTTATAATGGAAGTTTAATAATTTGTATCTCTGAGGACATACAGCTAGCAGAAAAACTGAAAAAAAAAAAAAAAGCGAAGGCTGATTTTTATTCTTCTATTCAAAATACAAGGACAGATGCTTCTCTGTTCCAAGAGGGTTTCCTTGAGGAAGCTACTGAAGCAGAAAGACATGATGGAGACGAGATCGCCTCCCCTCTTGTCAAAGTGTTAAAAAAATGTTCTGTCTTACTCTGCGCCTAGCATTGGAAATGAAAGTGACATTTACGCCACAACCCACGTGTGCGCCTCCTCTCTTTTTGTTTAAGGATGATCAGGTCTATCCAGGAAACAGCTCTGGCATCCCAAACTGAAATAATTAGGACGTATATAGACCTGACAAAAATGGAAAGGGGGTGGGGAATCTGAGGGTCTGTCTTGCCTAATTGATTCCGATAAACGGAATGCAGGAGATGTGAACGGCAGGACGCTCCGATTCCCACGCTCGGGGGCAAGTGGTAAAGCGGCCCGGCAGCCTATGACAGACAGCCCTGTTGGGGGGTGGGAGTATGAAAAAAACATCAAGTGCACACACCATACTCATCTCCATCGCTCAAGAAAGTAGAGGCATTTCCCACCCACAGCCATCTGCAACCTCCCAAATGGTAGCATCAACTGGTCTGTAGCTGCTGCATACTGTCTGTTTCTGTTAATTTTATAACCGCTGTTTAATTTGGCCATAATTAAGTTCAGCTTTCTTCTTTGGTTAAGATTTTCAATATTTAAGGAAAGCTAGTAGAAAGCAGTTCCAAAAAAGTCCCGTTTCTGCCTGCCCTTCACGTCAAATTCTCTCTGTACTTTTGGCCTTGTGAACACATTTTGGCTTTTGTTTTGGGTGGATTATATCTAAAAAAAACATACTCTATAATGGACATTATTATCACTTCATCAGGCTGTTTACCCCTTAACATGATATATCTAGGAACTTGGCCTAATTGTGCTAGTAGACACACACTGGAAGTAAAACTATAAAATCATCAGCCTACAGAAAGTTAATTACAATAGTAACATGATAAAAGGTTGTTTTGGTATAGTCCCAGTAAGATGCAGTCTATTCAGCCATTTTTATTGAATCTAAAAATGACTATACTTAGCAGAAACTTTGGGGCTTTGGAGGTCCCCATTGCAATCTTTTCATAAAAGTTCTTACATTTTTCCACGTGTCAAAGCAAACATTTGTATAGGCATTAAACGTAAATACAAACATTGCAGTAAGAAAATGCTTAAAACGGCCTGTTATTTTCCATGTGGCCTGGATTACTGACAATTTCAAATCCCAAATCTACAATTTTTCTTCAAAAACATTACATTTTCCTTCGTAGCTTCAGCACCTTCTACGATTCCAGACTGGAGAACCCTGTAAACCCATTGTTAGTTTCAGTTAGAAACTCTGAGAGACTTTATTAACGTAAATTCTCATTATGGCTGCTGAACACGTGCCAAAGTTTTACTCCTGTAGTGACCGTTGAGAAGACCCTTGTTTATTTACATTTGAAGCACTGTTTGTGCAAACAACCTTTCATTGTTAAGTGCCTGTATTCCTTTCATTTGCTTCATGTCCAGGGGTGCTATTTACCTAGAACCATTGTCTACTACAATTAACATTTACATTACAAAGTGTGTGGTTTTCTTTCTCAAGGAGGTTCAATTAAGGCAATAAGATGTTTGCTAGGGAAACCTATTGTTTACTGAAAGCACTCAATGGAGTCAAATTACTGAAGCTTTTGCTTACATCTTGGTCTTTTATGTAAATATGTTAAATATAGCATCTAAGGAAAATAAACAATATTATAATTATGTGTTTGCCATTGTCATATCAAACTTGCTTTGTACCATACTAATGTTACATGACTTATCGATCAATAAAAATACATTTCAATGTTATTATTTTCATTTTATTTTTTGCTGTTCCACTCTTCCTGCTGCAACATGTCCCAATTTTTCTTTTTTCTATTGCACATCAAACTTCTGACATTTTGTTTTATTTGTGTGTGTTGGAGAGAGGTACTATATCTGAGCATGGGTCTGAAGGATGTCCAAGGTAATCTCTACAGTGACCTTATAATAAGGTGATATTTCTTTGAAATCTGAAATATTCCAAAGGCATGTACATATAAGTCAAAAAAAGTGTAAATACCGATTAAGTAGTTCTTTGAAAGCTAGTTTTAACATTGGCAGAAACCGGATCAAGTTTATTTAGCATACCGCTGCATTGTGAAACAGTCGGAGTGAAGTTGCAGGTTGCGTGAGGATGCATGTTAACTAGTGGGAACCAAGCGCAGTCTTTGTGAAAGCGGAGCAGCAGATTGCTGTGCAAGGCCAATGTTAAAAAGGCAGCTGAATTTAACACCATCTGGAAGAAAAGACCCCTTCACGACTTTCTCACACCGTCAGACAAAACTAGTGTCTCTTGTTCCGAGCCCTTGTCTATGCAACCATACAATACTGAGTCATTATACTTTTGCTGAGAGAAAATTTGAGAACACAATATGGGTAACCAGTGAATGACCAAGTTTCATTGTGCCCGCTTAAGTCGATTGAAATCTACGTCTAGAGCTATGAATGGTAGTATTGTTTTCCTCACCAGGGCTGTACTAAATGTCAGCACAGTGTAAAGAAAAACTTGAAGTCTGCAAATAACTTACCAGATCTCAATTATAATATTTTCCCACACTAGAACTAATATCATTGCGAGGGGCTACATTGCAGAAAATACAAAAAGAAACGAAAAGAAATAGAGAATTCATTTAGAAGTTGTTTTATCCAGACAAACATTTTAATTTTCTGATGGGAACTTCAATTCAGGCTGCAGGCAGGCTGGGTTGAGAAGCGGAATTCATTACTGGGAAGTTCAAGTTACAAAAATGCTTTTTGTGCAATTAAAATAGAATAAAACAAACAACTACTTCCACCTGAAACCCTCCCTTCTTAGATATAAAGATATTGACTCTACTTGGGTTTTATTGCTTTAGATCTTCTTAGAATTATTAGTATGAATCTAGCCCAAATTTTGCTTGGAATTTTGGCAGACACTGCTCTTTCAGAGTTTGCCACTATGATTGACATTGCAAAAGAACATCATAGATGTACATTTCAAAAAATATGCAACATTCTGGCACCTCCCTAGGTGGATTCAGGTACCCTCAGGAATACACCTCCCTTTGTGTTATACCTCCTCCCCATTTTCTAACTTTCCTTTTCTCATGATGTGTGTGAATCAGTTATTATACTTAGATTTAACATTCACATAATTGATTTAACTGTAAACAGTCAGAAAAAGGAAACAAAACAGTTCAAAAAGAGTAAAAGGAGTTGGTTGTGTATGTTTTATTGGGATGTCTATTTTAAATATAATTGACTTTGCAATTTTGTTATTGTGTCACCAAGTGTCGCATAGTTCTTAACATGTAAGTGCAAAACAATGAGTAATTGCTGTTTTGCTGAATAATACATCTGAGTTGCCAACGTCAAAGGTATTATTTTGTGTATTTCTAAACAGGAACGTTAACTGCAGGTTTTGACATCTAGAATCTTTTCATGAAATACTTAAAAATTGGCCAATAAAATGACACCTGTGAAAGAAAATACAGGGATATAACCAACTAATTTTCCTTGTCCTACTTTCTACTAGAAAATTAAAAATGAAAAGTCACTCAATAATAGAATTATAGAGGATATAACATAAAAACACAGTCCTACAGAAAAATCCAAAACAACAACAAAAGTGGAAACTGGGTAGAGGTAAAAAAAGATACATAGGAAAACTCCTGCAATATCCTTGCAGGATGTGAGTGGATATATCCACCAGTCTCAGAGCCCCTTAGTGAAATTACCATTAGTGTGCATAGTAATGAGATAAAAGCATTATTTACATTCAAAATGCATTATTTTCTCAAAGTGGTTTTTCTTGAAGTCTTAAACAGTACATTTCTACCAGTGCTCTGTTTAATTTTTAAATTAAAATGATTTCCTTATTTGGAAAAATATGAATTCTAACTTGATTTTGTGTAGTCTTTGATGAAAATTAAGAAACCACTTGAATAAGAGATAAGGATAAGTATATTTCACGTTCCTAAAAGTTCTTCCTATTTATAGACTACATTTAAATGGTTCAAGAGAGTTTAGCATTTTGAGAATTTTGAATTTTTAGAAATGGAGAGATAAAGCCAAAGGTTTTATTTTCTAATATAGCTAGAAAATGTATGAAAAAGTGTGTAACTGTATATCTAGTTGTTTTTTTTTTTCTATGTGTCTGTACCTCTGGAAATGCCATTATTCATACCTTTTCCCACTCTGTCTTGCTATGACTTAGCTTTTCCCTAATAAGTTAGGGTAAGTAAAACACACCTTATATATGATGTTGCATTTGGATGGATGCTGGGGGTGGAGGTGGTGAGATGGGCAACAGAGACAAGGTGTCCTTTAGAAGTTAATGAGGAAGAAGACATCTATAATACTGGCCCAATTGTTTTAATGTTAGTATTTCGAGACAGCTAAACAGTGACGGGGCATGTAAGGTTGTTCTTCAGTGTCTCCAGATTTTAATGGATGGCTTTGTTGTCCTGTTTCTGTGTTCATCGGTTTCTTAGCACAAGTTAACCTAGAACAGAAATCAGTAGAAGCCTTCATTCTCATCTGCTTAGAGAACCTATTTCACCCCTTTTGGGAATCGTTCGACTTTATAGTGGAATTAATTCTAAAGAAGGTGAATGGAAATGAAAAGTATATAGTTATGATTGCTCCTAAAGAATGTCTGCTTGCCCTCAATCAGGGCCGGGAGAGTTAGTGCACTTCCTTAGAAAGGTGATGACCATCTTTGAGGTGGGAGCATGTGGTTTTCCGCTTTGCAGCCAACTGCCAGACCACAGGGGGTAGGACTTTAAAAAGTGAAGATAATCGACTTTATTCAGGGAAATATGGAGTTCAGAGCCATATTTGTTCAAAGAGAAGCACATCACTGTGTTTGGTGGTTTGACTGAGGTTTAGCTGAGCTCCCGCACGACGCATTCTTTGAGATCTAAAAATAGCCAGGCTTAGCAGTCGCATTGCAAGGTGCTTGGCGTGGGCGGTGCACAGAGGAGACAGCGGACTCTGGTGACTGGCTGAGCTAGGCAGTGGCAGCGGCGAAGGCGGCCGACTTGCCGCCGGGCAGCACGACGCCTCCCGGTGACCGCCAACAGCCAGAGTCCTCCTGCAGCTGTGGCTGCTGGCGGCCCTTTCCTGAAGCGGGCGTCTGATTGGTGTTTCCCGGGAGACGGGCTGCCAGGGCTGCCAGAGCTGCTGGAGCTGGTGCGCCGGCGCGCGCGCTCCCGGGGCTGGCGCGCGCTCCTGGCTGGCGCGCGGCGAGGACGCGGGGGGCGCGCTGCGGCCCAGGTAGCCGGCTGGGAGGCCTCCCAAGTTCGCGCGAGTTCAAGTTCGCGCGAGTTCAAGTTCCCGCGCCCGCCCTCCAAGGTTTGAGAACCGTAGAGGGGGGCTGGCAAGCTTCCTCTGCCGGGCATGTTGAGTTGCATCCGCTAGGGCTGTTGTGTTTTTTTTATTTGTCGGCCCTTCGGCCCCTCACCAGCGACCTCGGTCCTGCTCCTGCGCCAGCTCCGGATTGCGGTTGCTTAGGAATCTCGGAGTTGGGCTTGTGCATGGGGGTGGCGTCGGGGTTTAGTCAAGCCAGGACCTCGGCTGGAGCGAGGGATCTAGCTGCGGCCACCTCCTTCGCAGGGCCCCTTCCTCAAGCTAGCAGGCAACTTGTGTTTAAGGGGCTTTCTTTTGCTGACACTGTTTTTCTAGTTCTGCCCAGGAATCTTCCCTGGATATGATCAATATCATTGATAAAGATATAACGTGCTCCTCCCCACCATTTTTTAACCTAGTGAAAAGCTAACGGAAAGAGCCCCCCCCCCCCCCCCCAACACACACCCTGGGAAGCTCTCGGAGAAGGAAGTTTTCTGTATCAGGAACCAGGGTTGGTGAGCACACTCCGCTCTGGGCCCTTCCTGGGTCAACTTCCACTTCTGCCCAATTGCCCATTCGGGACTCAGCGCGCATCTTTTCCCTATCAGATTTGCAGGAAATATTAATCTTCCTGTTGGGTGGATACAGTAGAACTTGTTCAGAGATTCCTTTAAAAAGAGATCTGGGTCTTAAGCACTTACTAAAGCCAGTTAATAACATCATGCATGGACATTTAAACTTGTTGTAAGTTGCAGAGAGGATTAGAGGGAAGTCACGCTGTGCTCAGCTAATGATACCATCTTAACTCTAACCGGGCTAAATCCACCTCGTCCCGGGCAGGTCCAGCTCTGCGGCCCTCGGGTGAGGTTGGGAAAGAGGAGGGTCTTGGAGCCGCGCAAGGAGGGCGGAAACAGGAGGAGCCACTCTGGTCCTCGCTTCAGGTGATGGTCACTTGTTCTGGGAGGTTGCGGGCGATCTTGCTGCTAGGTGGGCACGAGCACCAGGACGAGGGTACAGGCTTCTTGGTGTATCTGTACGCGCCACAGCCCAGAGGCTGTGCTATAATGACACTAAAGGACACTTACCTACATGTTAAGCAGGTTTGATTTCATTCACCAAAGGGTGCACCAATGCTTGTAGCAAGCTCAGGTGAGGTTGTGGGATTCCCACGGTGGTGGCTTTTTGCTACTGATCGATTTGCATTACAAAGGCCGTTTACTTTCAGTTCTCTTACAAAAGTAGTCAAGCTCAGTATTTCACAGGTAAATTTCGAAGCATATTATTAACAACTTCCTGTCATAGGCTTGCTCGACTGGTTTCAAACTGATTACTGTTTTAAGGCAGTTTTCGACTACTTTATGACAGGGCCAATTAGAAATAATCTTGGGGAAATGCTTCGAAAATGCTGCGTTATTAAAACACTCACCTAACAATATTCA